CTGAAGCTCCTTTGCACGTGTTTGGGGCCCTGCTAGGGTTGTTTTTAGCATTAAGATGCGATTTTTTGCTGCAGCAGTCGGCCCGAAAACAGCCGCGGTGCAACAGTGCGTTGTTTTCGAGCTGAGTTTCTGAATGAAACCAAGCATTGGAATGCGGGCTCCAGCTGTGCCTCTAGCTATCAGCGTTGAGTGGCTGCTAGTCAAGTCAGGCCAAAGCGCAACGTTTGACCTTGCTTGCCTCGCGCTGGCGCGTGAGCATGGCTCCGACATTGCAATCTGAAAGCGTTCAAGCGGCCAAGCACCGGATTTGTGCAGCCTCCATGCACTCCACGAGGTTTGTGCAACTTCTCAACGACTCAAACTTGGTGGCCTACGACGAGCAGGAGCAGCGCGGAGTTGCCTTTGCCGACCAGTTGAGTCTCGAAGGGGCAGCCTTGAATGGGGATCCCTTGTTTGATAGGAGTGGGCATTTGACAGGGAGGCACATGAAGTGAGGGAAGCAGAACGAATAACAGTTCGCTTTGCACTCGTGCTATTTACGGCAATTGACCGTGGGGTGATGCAGAACAACCTTTGAACCCGCGCTTGGTAACCTCTTTAAACCATGCTTCATAGTCAGACTTTGCGTGCATGACTGGTGGTGACAGCTGGAAGCTGTTGGTAGAATAGTGCATGCATGCAGCCGCTGAGATGATAATCCGCGTTTGGCAGTTTGCGCTTGCCAGAAAGATGGCAGGAGATTCCCAATGCTATGACAAAGGCATTGACCGCTTCTCGCCCGCAAGCCCGGCATTTGCCAAAGCCCAGCGCAATCCAGTCGCATTCATCAGGGCCAGGCTTAGCTAAAGTGGCTTGGCATTTGCCCCTTGCGCTGAGGACAAGCTGGGGAGTTGCTTGGCAGCTAATGCTTCTGTTGGCTGAACATGCTGACAGACTAAAGTGTCTCGCAATCATCCAGACATCGTCTACTTAATGCCTTTGCACCAGCCCGCCCTTGCCTTGCAGATGCAGCCGCCTTTGGAAGCTTTGCGCAGACGCCAACGATTTGGCCAGTGTGTGCAGTGCTTGTGGCCGAGGTGAAAAGCACACCACTGAAGTTACATCCAACGGAAACCTCGTGTCCCGCATCTTGGTTGCAGAGCCACCGGAAGTAGTTCCTGACCATGGATAATGCTGTTTCGACCCACGATCCGAAAAATTCTAAGTATGTTTCATTCCTTGGCAGCCTTCCACAGGGCTCTTACCAGGATGCCAAGGATCCGTGCATGGCTTCACATTGTTTGCCTTTTCCATGGTTTCTCATTGTTTGCCGTGCATGGCTTAGCGGCACAATCAGTCGCATTTGTTCCATTGCCTGAGGAGATGTAGTTGTTCGACCATGTCGCTGCAGTCTGTTTCCCGCGTTGTGCAAGCAGAAGCGTGTATCCGCTGCCTCCTCCCAAGTAGCTTGTGAAGGGCATGTCAGAAACAAACTAGGGTTGGCGGGGACTTTTCTTGTTGCATTGGGGACTCACTGCCGGCCGAACATCCAACCGTGAATGTTCAACTCAGTGGCTATGCTGCGGCCAAGGCTTCATCTCAATGACGCGGCAGGGCACCAAGAACTCCTTCATGAGCTGAGGCGGGGAAAGAATCGGCTCACACATCCCCCGTTTGGCACGGTTTGCGGTTCATTGGCACCTTGTTTTTCTCTTCCAGCTGGTTCACCGCGGCAAGCTGGTTTGGGCAGCATGATCTTTTTCCTGAAGGGCATGATTAAGATTGTGGAGTGGAGAGAGGCGTTGCGCTGTACACGCAAAGCTTTCAGAAGGAAAGGAATTGTGGACTGCGCATGTTTCCTGTATGTCACACCCTGCACGACCTAGCGAGACAAGGCGAGGACTGAACGTTTGAGTCAAAATTGGCAGAGAGTCTAAGAGACAAGGGCATGCAGTGAAAACTCAGTGATCAGTGCCAACATTACGCCGGGGTTTAAAAGTTAACGTTCTTCAGAGCTGTTTGCGGATCGCTTGCTTGAATTCTAAATACTCCACGCGGCAGGTCATGCAACTTGGCTCGTGGCTCATGCATGACCTGATTTGCGAGTCACTTTCGCTGTAACAGCCACCATTCTTTGGACAGAAGGACCTTCCAGGATCACGAAAGTTTCCCCAAGTGAAACTGAGGTCAGCGGTTATGCAAGTTATGCTAAGCGCTTGTCAGATTGGATCCGTTTTTGGAAGGGCCGGTCGCTCCCGCAAAGCGAGGGCCGGAGGCTTCATTTATTCATTTGCTCTGTTGGGGCTGTGCCCCACCCGGTGTGTATGAAAAGCAATTCAAAGAGCCAGCCTGCAGCAGTGCGCTGAGAAAGATGCTGATGCTTATGCACTGTTGTTGAGGAAACATCAAGCTGGCCCATTCTCCGACATATCAAAGGAATCTGATGCTTGGGGTGATGCAGGCGACAGTTGTCCGGTCTGAGCCGACAGGGTTCAAGCAGGTGTTTGTCAATGTTACAGCCGCTAGCATGATTTACAGTACTACCCGTAAAGCTGACCCTGGGGATGGTCGGTCCAGCCAACTGAAAGCTGCAAAGTGAAAACTATACCCGCTCATCAGTACGGTACCATTCCCCCACATGTAAGCACAAAATGCTAGTTTAGAAGCCTTTCGGCTTTGGAAGATGTGCACCCACCACAGGCCTTGCCGTTCTTGCGCTCGAATAGTGTTGGCAATTGTTGGGCCGACAAGTCAGGTGTGTTTTGCTTGAAATCGGTGTGCCCGCACAACCTGCCACATGGCCCTTGCAGGCGAGAGGCGGAGGACGAGACCTGAAAGCGCAGCCTTTAAGTTGAGACTGTGCATGAGCACAAGCCATTAGAAGCTACAGTTGATTCACTCACAGCCAGCGGGGCGCAGAGGTGTTCCAGAATGTGATTTGTACCCCAACCGTAGTGGATCAGCTGTGGCATGCTTGAGCAGCGAGAATGATGCGCAAAACTGCGAATCGAAGGACAAGTGTGCCAGCGAGCTTCAACTAGTGAGTTGTTTGGCTTTGGGCGTGCTTTGGGCAAGCAGCTTCTGCAAATTGAGCTTTAGACACAAACGGTTGTTTGCTTCAGATTGCTCAGCACCCCGTTCTAAGTCAAGGGTGCGCGTTGATGACCAACCCGCGAACGCAGAAAAGGACTTCTGGAAGGGTTTGGCTTTCAAGGTGCAGGCAAGCCGCCTCTGTGCATAAAGATAAGCCATTGGTAGTTCCTTTCGGGGCTGTGTTAAGCGCGCACCCGCTGCGGCAATCTCAGGCATATCTCAGGCCTTAGTCTCACTCATCTCACTTGACCTGCGGTCGGTTCGTAGAAAAGGGCATATGGTCAATGCCACGCCCTGTCTTTTCCGTAGATCGCGTGGAGAGTGAGTTGATTTGTTGGACATGGATCTTTGTGCTAGCCCAGTTGCTCTCCATAAAGCCTGCTGGCAAACAGTTTCACTTGTAGATCCGGCTCAGCACCTGGCACGCAACATTGGCTGTTCCTCCAAAAGCACTGGTCAATCAGAGCAACATCATGTGTATCCAGTAGCTCTTTTCCAGATGATCGCTCATCTAGGGGAATCTAGGGATTCTGTGGCACTTTCTGGCAATCTTCGTCATGAGCGATGCCCACGAAAGGAGCCTTCGTATGAGTGCAGTATTTTACGCCCTGAAGCGGCTAGAAGTGCTGAGTTGGGGTCCATGTGTCGTGCGTTGCTTAGCTCCCTCTCCGTCAAGGGGCCTTGACCGAATCCAGCCTGGAGCATCCAAGATGCTTGCGGCATTTACGGGCCAGCTTGCGACTTACACTCTCAGCGTGGCGAATAGCAGCCTTTGATTTGCATGTTTCTGAACTTCATGTGAGACCTTCACTGACCAGAGCAGTTGGGGCGCAGAACTCCTTGTTTTCAAAGGGCTGCACAAACTCAATTGGCAATTTGTTGTATATAGGTACCCCTGAAAGGCACTGAGTCAAGATGTTGCCCGTCATGATGCAACGTGTGTGTGTGTGTGTGTACGTGTTTGCTTGTACGAGTGTGCCTTGTTACTCAACACATGGTGGTGGACTTTCTTTACTTACGAAGCTCTGATGCGACAGCCAGTCCCACTTATTAAATGTGTGCCTGTGTGTGTGTGTGTTCTGCGAAGCAATGCTACAGCAAAGGGGACATTCAAAGGATTGTGATTCAACGTTGGGAGGATTTAGCTATTGAGCGTACTTTGTGTGTGTGTGTGCGTGGCTAAAAAGGGACTTGTGCAGTGCAAGGTTGTGTCACCTCCGCGCCTCGCTTCAATAGCCACCGTGTCAGCGGTACTTCAATGGCATGAGAACATGTTGGGGAGCAAGCTTTGGTACGTTGCAAAATGGCATTTGTTGTTTGCATTCCGTTTTGCTGGCATGTTTGGAGTAGGTTTACGCGCTAATGGGACACGCTACGTCATGGCCATGCCCGTTCTACCCGCGCAATAAAACCGGCAGACATATATGATTGGCAGAACCGCGAAATAAGTGCAATCATGGCCCGCCCGCTGCTTTCTGAATGGACTAAAACAAACATTTTGTTGAACACACCAGACATGTTTGTCCCTTACAGGATTGCGCAGTTTGTGGATAGCACAGATTTGGCAATGAAGGCTGATGTGAAAAGTGGTTGGCTAGACGCTGGGAGTATCTTGTTGCTGCCTTGCCGGCGTCAGGCAAGAGCAGCCAAGCCGTGCTTCTTCCGAGACCATGTCGAAACCAAGTCCTGCGTTCGGCTGACTGCAAAAGCGGCGTGCTATTTACCGAAAAGAGCGGTGCTAGTCCCCAGCTAAACGCGTAAGCTATTTCTTTCCCCAGAAACTGAGATCTATGGGGCCTTTGCTCAGATAGCTCCGGAGTAATTCAGAATGGTGGCTAGGGTTCCGGAACACACCAGAAAGGGTGAGGATAGGGCTTTTTTGAGAGTCCATCATTTCAATCACGCCTTTTGCAGCGCCACCGCGCTAGGCGAGCTCGGGGGCCACACCTCAACAAGGCTGGGCTTCGCTGCCAGTTCGCACCATGGAGCTCAGGACAGCTTGACATGAAGGGAGTTTGGTACGGTCCCACTTTGCCTTGGAGCCAATAGGCGGAAAGCCACGTGATCGATTCCAGGTCATGGAGGAGGTGCAAGAACGCCTGTCAGCTGCCAAGACCGAGTGCCTGGCCTTCGGGGCACAAACCTTGTCCTAGTCCAGAGGCAATGACGTACTTGTAATGGTCAGGGCGGATCCACAGGAATGCAGTTTCATGTTTGCTAGCCAGTTTTGAGGCTGTCCCCCATTCAAATCCACAACCGCTTCAATCCCTAGCAGAAAAAAAGGGATGTCCAGAGTCAAACGCTCATGTTTCGGGGGTCCAGTTGCTCTTCAAGCACGCAGAAGGTGCTTGCCCATCGGCCCCATGAGCTGCTAAGGGATGAGTTCACCTGCATTGACCTTGCCTTGACAGCGTGGTCAATAGCGACGATGAGGATGGAGCCGCCAGGACCAGTTGGCGGGATGCGAGAGCCCCGTTCAACCGCCTAGATTGCTGCTTCAAGCACGTAGGCACCAGGGGCATCGCAAACCAAGGAGTTCCTAACAAATCATTGTCCTTGTGTTTGCAGCTGTGGATGCCCCCACATGCTCACAGGACTCTATGACCGGATCAGCAAGTTGTCTTTGGCATGCATCGCCCCGCGGCTGCAAACTGCAAACCTCCCCTTCTCCGGCACGAAGAGTCGACCTCTCGTTTTTCGGCTGCGCTCGTTGGCGCGGGCTCGGGGCTCCTTGGACAGTTGGACTAGGTGCGAGCGGTCGAAGGCGTAGCTCTCTCGCGCGCCCAGGCTGAGTTCCAGCCGCAGGCCATGGCTCTCCTCCGCGCCCATGAGAGATATGAGAGGAATGGGACCGGTCCAGTCTATGTTTGGCTTGCTTTGAAGGTCCTGGCATAGCTTCCGCGTCGTTGAGGAGTCAATGTAGTCAGTCGTGTGTGTGTGTTCTTCTTGCCGCACTCATGCTATAAATCAGGCACGGCTCGGTAAAGCCACACCCTTTGATGCACACAGCTCCTTGGATTGGCATTTGTTCGAGAGGCCCAAGCCACCAACCCAAGTGCGAGGTGGGATCTGCTTGTTCTCAAGCCATGACAGCCCACGCAAGGCCTTGGCCAACATCATGTGGGCAACGGCAACGTTGAAGAAGGAGAACGACGCTTGGTCAACAGGCGCAGGTGTTTGCACTTCATTGCCAGGCTCCTCCTTGATGTTGTCTACATCCGGGCAGCGAAGGGTTGCGTCCCTATCAGTTACCATTGGTTCGTGACTGGTTCGAGTAAACATGCACGGACTTAGGTGTTCTAGCAATGTAGCTTCAACTTCAGCTGGTGGTATCGTAGTAGCACGGTCTTGGAGCTTGGGATTGAAGCTTTGAAGCTGCAAACATGTTGTTCTGCATTGAATGTGCTTCCATCCCTCGGCGTGTTGGAGTCGCAAGTCGAAAGCCCATAAACTACGTGATATCTATCCTGCCCATCGCGCGTGCGCAACACCAAGGACGCGTTGATCCGACATGCAGCATACACCGCAGTCCTGGCCTTAACCAGTGACGTCTCGAACTTCGGCCATTGAGAGAGGATGAACCACGGCGATATTAATTGTCTGGGGTTTGCAGGAAAGATAGCATGAGGCCCAACAAAGTAGTAAATGGAGGAGACGAGCGACACAAATCACATGCCGGGGACACATGGAGGAATTTATTTTGGCTCAGATGTAGATGATGAGGTTCATCACTTCAAGCATGCCAGGACGCTCTCTTACTTGCCCAAAGCCCACCTCTTGACCTTTTAGTTTTCCGGGTTTGGTCTAGTTTAATCATGACCCCAAAAGGTTAACCTTTTATTTTCAGGTCCTTTGGGCAAGTGAGCTCTATTTCAGGTCCAAAGGTACCAAAACCAGCGTTCAGCCTTGACCACAGGCGAAGCTGTTGGACGCTGGGTGCGACTTCCGACCGCACGAGTACTCCACCATGGTGCCCCTCGGCATGTAGCTGGCTCCTTCCAGTCTTTGGCAGGCACTCTTGTCCTGTGATCCACAAACGGGATCGCCACGCAAGGGCAATGATACAACAAAGGCAATGTACAGCAGCGATGCCCTTCAGGGGAATACGTGTGTATTACATATATATATATATATATATATGTATGTATATGCATGTTTATGTGCAAAACAACAAGCAAGTTAGATTCGCACCAAATCACGAGTTGACAGTTATTTATTCATAAGTACGGGCTTTCTTGCCAGATCACCCAATTTGCAACGGGGGTTCTCGCAAGCATGGCCGCTTCTGGTGTTTGCGGGTTCGACGGATTGTGCCTTGCTCTACCGCTATTGGGTTGGATCTTTAGACTTTAACTTTTTGGATCCCTTCATATTTCCTTTTCACCAGGAAAAGTTAAGCTGTTTGCTGGGGGTCTACAGCACCCAAGCTTGGTTGAGCTGGATTTGCCATGCTGAAGGACAGGTGGCTAGGTTCCAAGCTGGCCCGTGGCCGGCTGCTGAGGTGGTCCATGGTAATCACGCAGGCAAAAGAGGAGTGCCTCTTCAGCCGTGTGTCAGGTGCGGCTGCCGATGTTTTTTTTTCGTTGAAGGCCTCACCAATGTTTGCTCCCCAAGTTTGGCCTGCAGAACTTCGCAAGAGCGGGGCAAGAGTGCAACATGCGAAAAGTGAGGCGTAGCAAAATCATCATTCATTCACTGATGGGTGAATCACGCACTTCTTCAGCAAGATGTCTCCACCTTGAACTGGAGCATGAAGCTTCCCGCGCAAGCTAAGCAGTCTTTGACCTAACCCATGAATGGATCCTGACATTGGGCGTCCATGCTTCAAGTTCGCAATTCGAACAGGAGAAGCTTCCTTCTAGGCCGCTGCGCATTGTCCCTGTTTTACCGTCCATGTAATCCTTGCCTTCGTTTGTCCAAAGGTGGGGAATTGGCCCAAGGTGAACCCTTGTTTCACCCAGCAGCTAGCGATCCGCATGAGGATTTCTATATCCTTGTTGATGCTGATGTTTGTTGTTCCCTCCGCCAGGCTGTAAATGAGCAAAAAGCTGCTTCGTTTCCCCCCTGGCACGGCAAGATACCTGGCATTTTCTCCCATTGACTTCCATGCGCACCCGCTCAACACTGCACCCATGCCCGGCAAATGGTAAGCACATCCGCTCACGTGCACCCGCTCCACGGGGCGGTCGTCAACAACCCGCCCGCGCGTTGCTGTGTGCCTGAGCGGATGTTGCTGCTGTTGTGGCGTGTGTTGGCCATTGCTTGTGCGTGCGCTTTCACGAAGATTTCAGCCTTGCGGGGCTGTTGCCAACACGTTGAGCTGATTGCGATGGCCGTGGCATGCACAGATTGCAGAACTTCGTGGGGATTGCGACAATGTGACAAGCAAGAAGTGAGCACATGTTCCACTTCAGACGTGAGGTACTGGTTTGGACAAAAGCGCGCCGCAAAGCACGCAAATGTGAACCTGCAGTCCACACGCAGGTCACGTGATCCGCCGCGTGTCGGAGTTTGGACCACAGGAGCCTCCGACGGGCCGGATGAGCATCCATTTAACAATAAATGAAGCTAAGTTGGTCCGATGCAAAGAAGCCACATCATCAGAAAAATTGCCTTTCGCGCTTGATTCATCTCATGCCCTTTTGTGTGTGTGGTCGTTGCGAGCACTATTTTGCTGCATGTTGATTCCTTTGGCCTTAGCCGAATCGTAGTTCGGTCATATGGCCGCACAGCACTGACGCTAGGCCCCCTGGCCTCATATTCCCACCAGTTTGCTCCAGCTACTGACATGACAGATTTGCTGAAGGCAACGGTTTTGCAGGCCTTCCCACCGTGCTTGGAGTGATGGAGGACATCCCACGCACTGCCTGCCCAGTCGTTTGGCCAGGAGCTGACGAACTGTGCCTGGGCCTTCGCCTCAATTGGCATTCGGACCGAGGCGCGCGCATGTTGCGATGGATTTGTGAGACGACGCGATTTGTGTTTGCTTTTGACGCTTTGACAGCCATGGCAATCCCAAGACAAGCGTTTGTGACACCAGCAAAATGAAGAATGACTTTGTCTTCTGAGTGAATGCCTTCAGGCTTCTTCCAAGCCGTTTCAGAAGACAGGGTTGCATCAAAGTGCCCAGCTCTCAAGACCTGGGTGGGACCCCGTGGCCAATCCCAATGAGTCTGGTGGCACCTGGTAAACCCATGGCATTGCACCGGTGTAAGCCGCTTGCCTGAGTGCAGGGCCTCTTCGAAGCCTTGGGCAAGGAGTGTGTCTTGGCAGATGGGGATGATCATTGCCCTGAGGATAAGCGCAGGTGGGGGGCTGGGCCTGATTTTAGATGAACCTACATCTAGCAGCTTTTTCAATTGCTCAACCAGGCTGATCGCGTGGTCAGGGTGAAGCATGGTTCGACTGGGAAACCAAAGTGCTTGCGGATTGGCCCTTTGCTTTTTGCGGCCTGCCCCATGTGCTGCGTGTCATGCTTGTTCTTTTGGGGCTGCGCAGGTGCATGCTTTGTGCCTGAGGTCATGCCAAGTTGCACCACTTCAACATGCCACGGGCTAAGGGGCATGAGGTTATGTTGTCAGGGCTTGCTTTGAGAGCCATGGGCAGTTTGGCCTGTGGCTGTTGTGCGCCTGCAATGCTTCAACTGCGCAGCCAAACAAATGAAAATATCCATAAATATTGCAGGGCTTGATTGTCCTGTCAATCACTTCCTTCAGGTTTCTGCTGGTCTCTGAGTCGCATAGTTTCAGCAGGTGACGGAAGCCCGCTTTGAAATCATGGCCGGGAGAAGTGCAAGAGTCTTGTTTGAAGTTACGTGAAGTCACGTGCCGCTATTTTGGCGAGGGCTGCTCGAGCTTGACACAGGTGCCAAGCTCGTCGAACCACTCAGCACCAGAGCCAACCCCACAGCAAGCTATGCAGCTATGTGTACTGACCGACTTTGGAGCAAGCCATGTTGCCAGCCTGAGCAAAGTATGACGCGTTCGCCTGCTGCGAAACCGTAGGCCCACTTCAAAGAACGATCGAATCAGACAGTCACGACCCATTTACTAAATACAGTACATGACTGCGGCAATCAATTCCAACAGGAGTCAAGACTGCTTCCGAGGCAGAACCTCACCAACGTGGCCTGGTCCTATTCGCACCTTCGCGTGGGAAGCGAGGAGCTCCTGGCAGATGTGGCGCGAATGTGCCACGCCCGGATCGGGGACATGAGCCTCGGATCCCAACGGGACGTGGGGGTGCGCCATGAGCTGAGCAGAGCCGGGCTTGGAGCAGTTGGTGCGGCAAGTGGAGGGGGATCGTGTTTGGTGTGTCAATGGTGGTGAATGCAAATTGGATGGTTCGAGGTTGCAGGCGCCCGCATTCGAGAATTGGAAAGTCCTCAGGACGCATTTCATGATTGCCTGGTTTGGGCCTGTTGCTTGCCCAAGCACGCTTAAGCACGAAAAAAGCACCAACAAACCAGGAACCCTTTTTGGCAAACTACTGTCCTCTTGGAAAGGTATTTGTGGTAGGTAGCTCCAATATGGAAACTAGTGCAGGCGTGCTTTCGAGTTTCCCGTTCTGCTCGGGCAAGTTATGCGAAAAAGGCAGCAGTCGCACGAACAGTCTTTACCACAGGCTTCACACAGAGTGTCGGTGACTTGCTACATACCTGGTGAGTCTCAGCCAACACATGTGTTGCACATGTTTCGTGCCTGTTTGTTTGTTGCCGGGCGGGTGTACAGGCCCGAGGAAGCCCCATAGCAGTGTGTGGACCATGCTTGCTGCTGCCAACATTTCAAGCGACTTGCTAGATTTCTTCATCCGCTGCCCCGATTTGCCTTGGGGTGCCGGTGTTGCGTTGAAATCTTTAAGCTGCCTTGTGTGAGCTGGTTCAAGAATCCAAGATGTGTGCATTTGTCCGAGGAATGTTCAGGACTTGGCTCAGCTTGCCAGAGCCCAAGGCGTCAGACCGGTAAGATGGCCTTGCCAAGATGCATTTGGTCGGGTGGGTTGGTTGACGGGTAGCAAAGATTCAGACAGGTTGAATGTGACCCATTGATTCATGGTATCAAGCAGTACAGGTGGCAAAACCCGTGCGGCTTGTCCAAAACATGTTTCCCCGTGGGGGCTTCTACGGCCCTTGCAGCGGTCGGAGGATGGCGGCTGCAGGTTTGCGTTCCTGCGTGTCTTGAGGCTACTGGATGTTCTTGTCTCTGAGGCTTTAACGCTGGTCTTCACCCGCAGGGCCAATCACGGCCTTGAGGCCTCCCAGTTGCATTGGCCGCAGTGGCATCAGAGTCTCGGGCGGAAGCTTGAGGACTGCGATTGGGAGACGGCCGGTGTGATGGGCACCCGGGAGCTCACCATGGCCTTGGTGGTCGAGGCGAGGGTTGAGCCTCCTTCAAGCCGCTTCGAAGGTTTTGCCGAGCGGCTTACTGATGAGTTGGTGGGGTGCTGAATCAACCGTCAGCCAATGACCAGGCCAGTGAGCCGCTGTGCCAGCGCACTTTTCTGCATTACCACGCCTTTTGGTGACACCAGGTATCTGAAATCGACGGGAAATCTGCGAATGTGTCCAAGAATCACGGAAATGGACGAAGAGGCTGACAGTCTTCCAAGCCACTCCTGTCCTTCGTGAATCCATCCCATGGCCTGCGCAGGTCACCAAGGCGATGGTGCAGAAGATCCGGCAGCGGGGTGCCACGCTTCTCGGATACTGCGCAGAGTCCCACCCACTGTCCCTGTGCAAAAAGTGCTTGCGCCCGCCTGAGATGTCAGCACCCCTAAGTTTCTCCAGCTTGCACAGAAACCTTGGTATGCATGGATAGTTAGGCTTCTCGAGCGGCAGACTTTTCGGATTTTGGGACGCTTGCTCAGAGATTCATGACCGTTTTCCTTCATTGCGACCATCGGCCCTTGCATGCTGCATGCCAACAAAGAATAGACAGGACTGGTTGAGCGATGTTTGAACTTATTTTAGTTGAGTTGCGCAATTCGAACTACAGTTGTTTTTGAAGGAGCTATCAAACCATGACGACCATGACCCTTGCCTCATGTTGCTTTCACGCACTCGACAAGGCTTGTTCTTTGTTTGGCTCACTGGTTTGTCTTGCTGTATCACCCAAGGACCCCCGACGACGCTTGGATCGTGCATGACCTCGTTCTGGTTTGGATGGAGGCCAGGAACGATGTGGCGGTCCAAGCCTCGCTTTGTTCGTGTGCCAATTCACTGCACTTTCGGGGGTCGCGTCCCAAACCTGTAGTCATTGGAACGTATTCTGCGTTCCCGGCACGTTGGACCGTAGGCCAGCCTGTTAATCAACCAGCGGCCAAGCTACTCCAGCACAACCATGTGCAGGAGAAGAAGGCGAAGGAACTTATCGCTGATGCCTGGAAGATGCTGGACGGGTGCGCCGTGCATGCTGCATGTCAGTGCTGCGCATGCTGCACCATTTCCCAGCCACGATCCAGAGACATCAGAACCATAGCTTGGGAAGTGTGTTTTTTGAAAAAGAACGAGCACCACCTGCGTGATGTGTAGCTGACAATGTGGTACAGTATCGCAACCGTTGCTTGGCAGAAGAGGCCGGCAGTTCACGCAGGCCGCATTTTTGCAGCTAGCGCTTGGTGTGCCGGCATGGCCTCGGAGCTGCAAACCTTGGCAGGTACATGGACCGCTCGGGCCCACAGAGTACTGACGCGACGGAGCAATTGCACTGGAGACACGGAGTTTGTTTGCGAAACAATCAGCACAAACCAGGTCACGTGCAACTTGCCTGTCGTCCAATTGTATGCTTTCCACTTAGAACGGGAGAAATCAGGCCCTTGGCCCCAGGCAGCGCCCGAGTCAGCCGGAGTACCCAACTGCCAGGTCAGGTCAAGCATTGCCAAAGCCACCTAACAAGATAGCTAAGGGCCATCCATGTTACCAGCAAACGACCGTCGGGGAAAGACTTCTTGGCAGGGCCATTCAAATGTAAGGCGCCTTCCCCTGCCGAGATTTGTACCATCAAGTCTTGGACTTCTTGCGGACTACACCGCTGCTAGCACGGGCCCGGGCCACAGCAGCCAAGCCAAAGATGGCGGACTCTTTGCGCATGGGCTGGATATCCCTCCCTCAAAGCATCATTGCATAGGCTGAGGAAGAGTTAGCAGCGCAAAGACTTCTTCAGGCCATGTGTTACCCTTTTTCCAGTAATTAGGATTGCTGGACATTGGAAAATCCTGGGTGAGCCCAATTCAGCAGGCCTTTTTTAATTTATTTGCGAGGGACATCTCGAGTAAATGTCTCGGTCCCAAGGCCCTCGCCTGTGGTTCAGTGGTGCAGTCTGCCCATGTGCCCATCTATGAGCAGCGGCTTGGATGCCAACGAGGGCAAGCCTGGTGAGAAGGGGGGCAACGAGGACACCTGCGTGTTTGTGTTTGTGTTTGCTTCTGTTTGGGTTGGTTTGTTTGTGCTTGTGCTGCTTGTGCTGCTTGTGCTGCTTGTGCTGCTTGTGCTGCTTGTGCTGCTTGTGTGTGGGCGGGTGGGTTTTGCCTCGCGTGCCCTGCATCCACGGCTGTTTTTTTTATCGTGCAAAGCTGAAGCTTGCACAGACGGCTCAGCTGGGCTCAACGCCCTCCAGCCCAGGTCCTTTCGCGAGCTGGACATTAGGCGACGCGTGGTAGGTTTGCCGCACTCGCATTTGCTAGAGGCTCCGAAGTCAACGTGCCACATATCCTCAAATAGAGTGATAGATGCTCTATGTAATGGGGAGCCTTGCGCTCATACCCCAGTATTGCCCAGACATAGCTGGGAAGCTTAGTCAGGTCAGAAACTCTGCGTCTGACGGAGGCCCTCTGGCATACTAGCAGCCATGCAAATGTTGACGGCTAGATTTGTCTTGTTCTGGCACGCCCAGCTTGCCGGCCATTGTGCGACAGGTCCCTTGGCATCAAGTACACCGGCCTCCTGTTGGCAGAGCTGGGTCTCACAGACAGGCTCGGATTGGGAAAGTGAGGACGTTCCTGGCAATGCGCTCAGCAAGCTTTGCTTGACCAATCAGCAGTTCTAAAACACTCAGATCTATTGCTGGTCTTGGTTCTAGACACCTCTCAAGCTCACATGCCAAAACTCTTGGCAGGGTTTCCTATGAGCAAAGGCTGGCTCAATTGTTTGGGCTGGGATTGCAATTGAAGATGCTGGAAGTATGTGGGTTACAGATGGTTACACGGTCCATGCAGAGAGGTCTAAATTGGTCAGTGATTTGAGGCTGGGGGTGAAAGTGACCCAAGAAAATGGGGCGGGGGGCCAGAGCTGTTGGATCACTTTGGCCAAACCAGCTTCCTCTCGCTTGTTCCACATGTATGTGATTTAGCAAGTTTGTGCCACGAGCAACCAGCTGACACTGGTGGTTTGGCCCTGGGGGCGAAAATGATCTGTCGATCCAAAAGCCCGTTGTCCTTTGCACGCTTTAAGTTTGAGGTGCCAACAAGAAGTTGTCGGATTGTCATGGTGCAATCCGCGCGAGGTAGCGCCAACAGCAATTGAATGGCCATGTTGGATTCTGGGGTGGGCTCAGGATACATTTCACATTTTACCAGTGACTCAAAGCGAAGCAAACCAAAAAAAAGAAGAGCATTCTATAACTGGGCTCTCACGGATTCCAAGTTGATGGATGCGTCTGAACTTTGCCACGAGAATCCATCCAGGCTGGAGGATGGCCTCACGGAGTCCTCCCGGCGCCTGCTGGCCGCGGAGCGTGCGCAGCTCCTGCGCCAGGCTGGGAAGGAGGATATCGTGGGTCAATATTCAAAGCCGCAAGTCTTAGTCCTTATTTCCATTTACTAGGGTTCCATGTTGGGTACATATTGTTGCTTGTACTGAATGGTTGCCAGTGAATGAGTTTCCTGCTTGGAACTATTGAGGGCTTCTACAACCCTTGCAGAACAGCCTGGTAAAGCAAATGGCAAGAGTTTCAGCACGGCTATCGGCCACAGTGTTTTCATGCAACCGATTTGGGGCATTGGTTTGCCGTGGGCCGTGCAAACCGTGGCTTCCTTGGAGCCAACTCTCAGGACCCTGGCGCAGGTAGTCAGAACTGGTGCCTGTTCCGCTTCTTGGTGGCAAGGCTTTCGGGCCCTGGTGTGTCGAGCGAGCTGGGCTAGAGGCATACGAGGTGGGCGTTTTGCATCTGAGCATTGAACCAGGGGCTGCGTCACGGAATCGTCGTATCTCAGTGGCCGCGACTTGTAGTGGTCATTGCGTTTTCTCGCTGGGCATTCTTGCAGCTCTGGTATGCCCTAGAATTTGAAGTAGAAACTTGAGTTGTTCCTTTATGCAGCGTCGTCATGACATTGTAATCAACATGTGTCATGCGCTGCGGCCGTGGGGCGCTGTTCGTTTGTAAGAATAGAGTCTGCTTGACTATCCAGACCTGCAACAGCTCTAAGGCACCATGCCAAGCCAGCACTCCGAACAAACCAAACTAAATTTGAATACTGTATGCATGTTGTTTGCCGCGCCGGGCAATGTGTTTCTTGGGGCGCCTTCTCTTGAAACAACCACTTCGCAGAGCAATCGGTAAGTTCGAGAAGGTGGAGCAGGCACATGCTCACACTGACGCATATATTTTGATGGCGCCTTTTCACAGATACCCTTAGGAGCTCTCCCGGCTGCTCTGTGCAAGTCGTACGGAGAAAGCTGTATCCAGATCTTCTCTCGAGAACAACGCTTTTCGAATGCTGGAATATTGTTCAAACCTCCAAAAATGATTGCAGAGCTGCCCAGTTCACCGCGTATGTAAATAGCTGTATTCGTTTTTTAGTGGCTAGTGGCGGTGGTTATGTTGGTAAGTAAGTGAAACGCATGCCGCGGAAGTTCGGAAGCTGCGACCTGTTATGTTCTTTCAAATTATTGGCTTGCCTTTAAACATGTTACACGCTTGTACCGAAAAGTTGCGATTCTCAAGCTGGATCTCGGAAAGTGCACCTCGCGTACTACATCTGTGTATGAAAAGTTCCAGATCAACAAGCTGGAGCTGAGAAAGTGGCCTTCGCGTACTACATTTGTACTAAAATGTGCGATTCTCAAGCCGGAGCTCGGAAAGTGCCCGACGCGTACTGAAATAAAACTCCGCGCCTTTTCGTTATGTAAGGGGACGTCCTTTAGCTTGTGTTGCAGGCCCAAACCATTGTAAACCGATGCAGGGGAGAAAAAAAACGATACCCCCAGAAGCCATCAAGACACACATCAGGTCCAAGCTGTTGTCGCAAACCAAGATTGCGGAATCAGACATTTGCAGGGCCCAAACTGATACCAAAACCGATGCCCAACCGATACCCAACTCATTAGCTGCTGTACAAATCAAACCGGCCATGCCTGGACAAGAAAACGGTTTGGTTTGCTGGCATAGCCCGCAAACTGGATCCAAGAGCCGTCCCGGAATGTTCTCGAGATCTTCTAAGGAGATGCTTTGGTCTGGATCTGCCGAATAACCAATCGCAATTTCACAGCTGACCAGAGCAGATGAAGAGCATTCGCAGCTATGGATGCTGCAGAAGGTACGCTTTGCGCCGCAGAAGCGGCGCGGAAGCGGAGGGATCGCCGCTTTTTTCTCAGTGTTTTACGGAAACCCTCATGTGGCTGCAGAACAGGCTGAACTTCAACTTCCCCACTGCATCGATCCATTGAAGAGGGACTTGTTTCTACTGTGTCCTGGGGCAACGCTACGAGTTAACACTCTTGTTTCCAGATATTTCGTTCCAATGTTCCAACTTTGACTCACAGCAGCTTGCTAGCATTGGCTCCCGGGATAGGCCAAAACTTGTGAGGTCTGCACATGGTTTGGCTTCCTCCGGCTCAAGGCTACCATCTCCACTCCGAGCTGCGAGAAGTTCGGGCGCCGCGGCGCAACGGGCTGACGTAGTCCGAGCGGCCATGGCAGGTTTCCAAAACGACGTCAAATGCGGCGGTTGAACCCGGGAAGGATGCAAAAAATGACCCGGTTGACAAGTTCGTTCAGGTTCTGCCCCTTGCAAACAGATGCTCTCGGTCTTAGGCGTGCCGTGGTGAGGACTTCTGAAGCAAACCCTCCACCAATCCATGGGGACCAAGGTTAAAGGGAGGCAACAAAATAATAATATGGAGCAAAGGCGACACCTGCAAACGCATCCCTGGCGGTGCGTCGACAACAGCAAAGAAAGTTGCTCGCGCTGTCGCCACAAGGCGGTATTTTGCACGGTCCCATTTTGCTTCTGAATATCGTTGCGTCTGGGCTGGGCGCAGGCCAGTATTTTGGAAACGATTTGTTGTGAGTTTCAGCAAGCAGGTCCATGACAGCGGGCGGCTTCTGTGCGATCAGAGCCCAAAAAAGACAGCGACGGCAGCACTATTTTCCGGCCCGCAACGCAGCCCCGAAACTGGTGCGCGCTGGGCGTTCCTCAATAGGACTGCGTGTGCCGGAGTCCATCCGGAGTCCATCCGGAGTCCTTGCACTGATTCAGCAAGGTGCTGTTGGCTTGGCTCAAAACGAGCCCATGGACTTGAAGCCTTTCGGTTCCTTAGGCAATTTGAAACCTGCCCCGCTGACTGGTGGGCCATGATGGAGTATGGGTTTCAAGATGTCGGCCATAGCATCAATATGTTCACACACATTATGTTTGAGGGATGCTCATGGTTTTGAAACTTGTGTCTTTGGAGGGTCTCCAACACCTTAGGAACGACCCGCCTCACCTGCCAACACCTTGCCTGCTGTTTCGGCCCAGGAAATGGAAGGCATCCGTGTGAGGCGGCTGGCCGAATGGGGCATAGTGAGTGTGAAGCTGTGTATCTGGAGTGTTCGAAGGTCAGCGTGACTGGTATATAAAGATGTTCTTGGCGCTCTTGTGAAAACCGCTACTTTCGAATTGCTTGTGCTTGCGCACCAGGTAAATTGCCCATGAACTGATGCTTGTGCGTTTCTTGGCGTTTAGAAGCCGCATGTTGCCAAAGGTAGAACAGGCAGCAAAATTGGGACATGCATCCACGCCACCTCAATGCGATTTTTGTAAATTGTAGCTCCAATTCGGGAGTTCGGGCGGTGAGGGTGATCTCATCCGGCGTTTCAGGTCATGTACTCTCTACACCTCAAAAGGACCTTCCTAGAGCGTTTGTTTGAAGAGACCTTAAAAGTCAAAGAGGCTTTTTTTCCGGCGGCCCTAGGAGCGTTCTGAGGTACAGGGTCCTGGAACAGGGTGCGTCATTTGTTGGGCTGCAGTTTGGATCCCCCCGGGTAGCAGCAACGAATGTATGGGCATGAGGAGCTGCGGGGGCGATCCCATGGCCCTGGCACTCTTGGATCCCCCTCGGGAGGCAGGGGTCGCGGGGAAGGAAGGCCGTGGCCTGGGCGATTTTACTTTGCTGGCAGACGGCCAATTGAGCAACACGTCTGCCTTTGTTGCTTGAATATCCAGCGTTTCGGCTGGCACGCGCTGCGTTGCGAAAAGTAAAGAACCAGCTGAGTGCCTCATAATGATGGGTTGCTTTTGTCACGTGTTGTGGTTGCTTTCCGTTTTGCTTGACAGCTGGGATGAGGCCCACTTGGTGGCGGTTCGCCTCAGCAATGACCGCTTGAACCACCGCCGCCGTGATGCTGAGTTCCGTGCGCGGGGGCGCCAAAACACCAAATTGCTCACATGTTCTCGTTTGGTGGGCTTAAGTTTGCTAATTCAGGGCTAGTATTCTTTTGGTGGGGTGATGTTCAAAGCAAAAGAGGGAGTGCCGTGGTTTAGCTGGGGAGCTGGGCTGAAAGATGTAGCAAAGCAACCCACCCAGACAGTTGAGGATTGACAAGCATGGGCCTGTGAAATTCGATTTCCGGGGTTTACAGACGGATGATTTTGGTTTGTGCTTTGGCCACTTTGAACGATGGAATGTCAATATCAACCACAGCCATTTGCTGCTGAGAACTGCTGCTCAGCAAAGTCCAAACGTTTCCAGAAACTAGTGATGCTGCTTGGCCTACAGAGTAAGTATATAATGACTTTGCGACACGTCCTGCCTCTCTCTCTTGGCATAAAAGCACCTACCAGTGACTTGCAACCTGACAATGCAACGAATGCCCCTTGCATTCACCAAAGCAGTGTCCGGGCATTGGGCAACCCTTGATACATTCCAGCGGCTCAGATAGCTCATGTTTATTGTGCGATCATGCTTTTCAGACTTCCTTTCTTTACCAATGGGCTGACACCTATGTCGATAAGGAATCAACTTGTTGGTGCGGCCGGTACATCTAAACCTCCCCAGAGAAGCGTGCCGGTTTGCCCAGGCTAGCGCACGTGGCAGGGGTGTTGCGGTCACTTATCCCCGATGCTGACAAGCTCATGCAGGACAGCCGCCGGTTGCGAGCAGTTGCGGTTCCAGGTTGTTTACCTCTTGGTAGTTTGCCATTGGGTAGCAGCAGGATCCCATGCGCTCCCTACAGGAGGGTAGGGCCAAAGTTGAATCTGTGTGTGGCTTCCATTTTCAGAGATTTGAGCAGGAGCGGATTGTTTGGGGCAACCGCCTGCGCGGCTGGGTTCACATGCCAGCGTCTCAGCTGGTTGCCCCTGTGAGATGCTGTGGAGTTGGAGTAGACGAATCAAAGCCCACAGCTGCTAAATCTGTCCGAACACTTGAGACATGATCCAGGTTCCGACTGTAAGCTCTGTGGTTGCACCCTCGCCATGGTGTGTTTCATTCGCTTGCTCCAGTCAGCAATACTGACACCTGCAGTGCGCTGAGAGGTACGTCACGGAGGTGCCGTGTCTCTCCTGCCTTGGGGCTATGGTTCAGCCACTGGGCGAAATGAACAGCGTCCAGGCAAAGGTGTGTGCAGAAGGGCCAGGCTGATTGTTCCTAGACGACTTGGTTGCATAACATGACATCATGATATGATATGATCAAAGGAAGTTTAGTTACCGAAATATGAAAAGTTGATCAGAGTCAGAAGATAGGAAGATAGGAGTTGATCAGAATCAGATTATAGAGCCCGACCGAATCGTGGAAAGAAAGTACAGAAAGCAAGAAAGAAAGAAAGAAAGAAAGAGAGAGAGAGAGAGAGAGGGAGAAGTACTGAAAGAAGGCAGAAAGAGAGAAACAAAGGAATAAGAAAGTTGAATAATCACGACCCCTTGCCCCCCAAAGAGGTACCCCAGAAGAGTGTGCATGCATGTGATGTTAGAGGCCCCGTTGACTGCATGTTCCCAGACATGTCGAATGCCAATGTGCATTTGGCTCAAGTATCAATGCCCATCATCAAAGCAGGGTTTGAGCTCGCCTACCGGACTGGGGTTAATAAAGGTCCCGGTTTCTGGTTCGCTGTGTTTCTTTCCCTGTTGAGTCGTTATTAGCCGTAACTGCTTTTTGGGATTAGGCCCCCTCGGTCCGGTAAGTTAGTGCACCTCGTGCATGAACCCGGCTCCGGCCTTCTCGGCCAGAGGGCAGCGCGGAGGGTGGACCCACCGGAGGAAGCTCTACTACGGGGCCTTCGGCTCCCTCACCCGCTGGGCAAGGCAGCAGTTCGCCATTGGGGTCGAGCGTGTCGCCTGGGAGGACGCTTCGGACTTGCACCGAAGCTCCCTCCTGGCGTGGCACGCCGACTTCCCTGACGGTAGCTACAGGCACCTCAGGGACACGTACCCGGACCTGTACGACGCCGCCGTTGCCCTAGGCCGCCACAGGCCGCAGCTCAAGGCGCGGCAGGACAGGTCGTTGCTCCAGCTCAGCAACCGCAACCGAGCACCCCATCAAGTCCATCCTCAACCACAACTGTGTCCACCATCAAGGCTGCAGCTCCAAGCACAGCGGTGACACAGACAGCAACAGGGCCGGCAGATCAGGCTGCAACTCCAAAGCGGCTCCAACCAGAGCCTCAACTGAGAGCCCGTCCCGTCGGCCCCCCTCCTACGCACCAGCATCAAGGTCGGGTGGGAGGAGGTACGAAGCTGTAGGGAGGCCCTCGTCGCGGAGGAGGACGCCAGCGGCAAGGCATCAGCCTACCTTTGTACCGAATTCGTCGTCAAGGCGCCCAAGATCCAGGACACCCCTCAGGGCTGCAGCTAGAAGCGCAGCAAGGTCAAGGACAAGGAGCCCAAGCTCCCCTACACCTCCAGCCCGTGCTTCCCTGAGCAGCCGGCCGCTAAACCTTGCGCCGGCCACCCTACGACCAGGGTTGAGGGATCTGGATCCTGTAGCATCGGTACAAGGCCAACTCATCGGGCACCGAATCCACCGCCCTCGAACGATACGACCTGCTGGATTACTACTGGCGTCGTCCGCCGAGATCGGGATCTCTGTCCAATCCTCCCCAACGAGGTCACCACCTCCAGAAAGGACAGCGCACGCTGTGTACTCAGGTCTTGCGGCCTTCAACCCGGACAGGGTGTACGAAGCTGAGCAGCTAAGCATCAAACGACCTGCACCTGCCGGACGCGACACATCCGCGGCACCCGCAACAAAGTCTGGTACTGGGGCAGCTTTGTACCTCGCCTGTGGTGGTGGCGAGGGTGGGGCCCGCTTGTAGTTGGACTCAGGCGGCGTCTCAGGCCGTTTCACCCCGCTGATCGATCTTGGGACCGACGCTGCGCGTTGAGCTGCAGCCCTGGGCACTGGTGCTGGGGGTGCAGGTGGTGCCCTCAACGGCGGAGGGGGGATGGCCTTCAACGCAGCGCGATCCGCAGCTGCCTGGTCGAGTACGCTTTGCGGGGGCGCCTTGACCTGGCTCTCTCGCCTGGCAAAGACTCACAATGATCAAGCAGCCACCAAATGCAGCAAAACGCTCCTCCAGGGCACAGTTCGGTGCGCCTCAGCAAGAGGCAAGGCAATCCATCGTGGTTTGCCTGGATTGGCACAACACCCTCGACGTCTCTGTCGAGGCTGACGGGGCCCCGAAGGAGTGGCTGCTTTCCAAGATCTACCGCAGCCATGCACTACCCCATCGAGATCCGCATCGTCAGCTACTGCCAGTCCCGAGACACTCGGGAGAACGCACTCCGTTTTGCCGGCAATTTTTCCAACGTGTGCAACAACGCTGTTGACAGCCTAGGCACCCGCCCGTTTGGAGACGTTGTCCTTACTTGGAAACACGTTGGGCAATCCGGCAAGGCTGCAGCTTTAGCGCAGCTGGGAGCGTGTGTGATCGTGGACGACAACAACGCGGTCCTCAAAGAGTGTCGCACCGCAGGCGCCCTGGCATCGGCCGCCAATCGGGCGCTCTACGGCGCGCTGGACGAGCTCCACGAATACCTCAGCCAGCATCGACGCCTGCTCCATCCTGCCAGATCGGCCAATCAGAGACCCTCAAGGAAGTTGGCCGCCGCCCCCAATCCGCAAGGGGCGGCCACGGACTTTTTCGTTGATTTGGCAGTGCCGGAGGCTGCAGGCTGCAGCTCAAGCGCAGCAGGTGCACCGGTTTCCAACACCGGTTGTAATATAAGTTTCCAAACGGCCGCAGCTTGAAGCGCGGTGTGTCAGCATACGTGAGCCTGACCTTGTGTGAAAGGTGCATCCGACATGGCGTCAAGGATTTCCCCACCCTCGGATGATAGGTCAAGGTCAACCCCTGAAAAAAAGTCTAATGAGGAAGAGCCTGAACTCGGTGATGTTTCGGTACCCGCAATGTCCGTAGTTCCCGTAGGTTCCAGGGCATCCTCATCAAGAGATGTTCGTAGCCGCGATCGCAACGCGACTCCTCCCCGTAGGACTCCCATTGTAGAGGAACCTGATTCAGACTCTACGGCAACCCCCCTTGTGTATAGCCCACAGGTGCCCGCTCCCGACCCATGTAGGGACATGAGTGCTGCCGCTTTTGTGGCCGGATCGGCATTGCAGCCCTTCACGAGCATCGAGCCGCGGACGAGGCCCGACAAAGGCTAGAGGAGGTTGCAGCTGTCGCGCAACAAAGGGAGCAGACCTTTAGAAAACAGGCAACGGAACTGACATACCAAGCCCAGCAAGCAGTCGAACGAGCCCATGCTCAGACCGCACGCGCTGAACAAGCTGAACAGCATTCTCAACAGGAAGCCCAAGGCCATGTTCAACTGGTGAGGCAGGAAGCTGAAGGCCATGTCCATCTGTTAAGACAGGAAGCCGTAGGCCATGTTGAACGTGCTAGGCATGAAGCGCAACAATTGAGGCAAGAGGCTATTCAAGGAATTTCCTCACGGGAACAGAAGATCCTCCAGCAAAGTAAAGTGATAGATACATTAGGTAGTGAAAACCTTTTGTTGTCGCAACGCCTTGCTGACCTAGAACGGGCTGTCGCATCCATGGCACAAAATGTTCCGGTACCGCCGGGTGAAAGTCATGAAAGTCAAAATCCTACGGATCCCGGGTTATCGGGGCAAAATGTCGTTGGACGTGACCTCCAGGTTGGATCACAGGCTCCCCAAGTTCAAGGGCCTAGTGATGCCACGCGTGAGCAGCATCCCCCGAAGGATGCAGCTCTAGGCGCATCAGGAAGTTCAAGTAGTGACCCTAAGGTAGCGCCACGTGCTTCTGTTGGTTTCCCAAAATCCTTCGCACCCCCACAGCCCGACATCAAGTCAGATGCCAAGCGTGTGCAAATCCAGGATGATGATCCACGTGCACAAAGTCAGGAGGTAAGGGGACCTGTAGATGCACAGGCACAATGTCCTCTTTAACTGAGCTGGTCCATCAACTCTCAATGTTAGTTGTGGCCCAGGTAGGGGTATCAGGGGCTTCGCCCCCAATCGCATCGGCTCAGGCACCCCCACCTTCCGTTGCAGCGCGCAACTGCTGTTCCCACGCTGAGGCTAACAAGTGCAAGTACAAGTCAAGTGGCTCAATTCCCATCCTCACCTTCGGAGGCAAGCTCCGACACATCCTCAGAATCCGGTGACAAGGGTCATACCCCTTCATGCCGAGTCTGTGGTGCATGATGATACCGCCTGCCCCTCCCTTTCCATGAATGCTGCTACAAGCGCATCAGATCCGGCCTCATAGGAGGAAACCGTGGTTCGCATCAAGGACCTTAAGGATTTAGTGCTTCCGCTTCCGCCAGAGAAGGCCGGTCAGGCGCGTGGATATGTGAATCAGGTACTGCATTCTACCCTGAACAGATGTGTGGTTTGATTACCAAAGCGTTGTATCCCAAGGTTTGTAGGACTCCGGTTCAAGCAATGCCTGTTGTTCCAGTCACCCAGCAAGCGGAGCATCGTGTAAAGGAGCAATCCCTAAGACACGAATCTCCTCTTTCCGGAGCAGATGACTTCACCCTCCTCGTTGAATCAGACTCTAAAACAAAAGGGACTGTTGAGGAACTCCTTGATGTCCAAGGTCTACTTGCTACCGCTGTCGGCATGCCCGCCAAGGCCTGTCCCGTGCTACAGGAGGCGACCGGACTTCAAGACATCGGAGTATGGGATAGTTCAACTGTCCGGGAGAAGGCTGAGGTCGCAGCTCAAGCGCGACAGCCTGACATCAAGGTGCACTTTGGTCAGCTCATGACGATCGCCAGCATCAAGTTCTATGAATTTGCAAAGCACCTCCAAAAGGTAAAGGGGCGCATCATGTTCAGGGGAGACCTGTGCAAAAGATGAAGCCGGCGCACCCGCTGTGTGCCAGGAACTGGGGGCCAACCCCACCTCGGTACAAGGCTTAAACGCCTGCCTGGCGTACGGGTGCATTGCAGGACACACGGTCTCCCACCAAGGCCTACGCCCAGGCATTCCTTAGCTCGCCATTCCAGACGTGGATCGAACTCCCGCCTGAGCTGCGGCCAAAGGAGTGGGGTTCCAAGTTTGTAAAACCCGTGGTCTTGTTACGCAGGAGGTCTGTGGGAGGCACACCTTAAGAAACTAATCAAGCAGCTGGGAAGGGAAGAAATCCTAGAGTTTCCTGGAAACTTTTTCTTTAAAGGGGTAGGCCTTATGCTCTCGACTTACGTCGATGACTTGACCCTCTCAGGTCCCGCAGATGCACACGAAGCCTTTTGGGCAAAGCTTACAAAAATGATAAATGTAGAGCCTCCCGAGCCAATCTCGGGTGCTTGGGCGCAATCATGTCTTCATAGATGGCCCCGCAGAGCCTCAAGAGCATGATCTGAATGCAGCTGTAAGCGCATTAAAGGGTGCCGTTGCCTTTGACATGAACGACTATGCCCGTCAAACTGTAGAACCATTTTGTTCTAGAACCGGCACTCAACCCGAGAAGCTCCGGAAGGTAGCTACTCCATCTGCCCAAACGGATCACTTCCTCGCTCAGCTGGTGAGCTAGCAAGGGAGACCCTCTTGATACAAAGAGTGACACAACCTCGGCTTCCGTGGTGGACCTCGGCACTGATGTCTGTTGTTTGCTCAACCACGCTAACGGGAAATGGGTGTTTGGTCCTTTGAGAACCAAGCAGCCACCGGATGTGGACTTCGCATCCCTTTCTCCAGCATAGTCGGCATCCGCACACAGAGCGAGGTCAAGATCTTGCGGGTTATCCTTTATGACTCCTACCAACCGGTAGTGCGTAGTCGAGTGGATGTACGCGATAAGACGGGCGAGTTGCCTATCCGTACACGCGTTTTTGGTTCAATTTTGTTGCAATATTGCGGCAACGAGAGTCAACCATGGAGCAATGAGAGTCAACCATGGATCAATATTGGCAACCTCGTGGTAGCGAGACCACTTCTGCGTGGCGGTGGCTAAGTCACCTATGGGCTTGATGATATCAGGACGCGCTAGTCGTCCCAGCCATAAGGAGTTTGCACGCGTTTGACTCTGTGGGAACGTTTGCTTGGGCGCCCGGTTGAGCTGGTGCTACACGAAGATAACCAAGCCACTATCCTGGTTGCTAAGAAAGGTTACTCCCCAAAAATGCGGCACATACAGCGCACTCATAAAGTGAACTTGTCCGCACTTGCAGAGCAACTTGAACCTGGCACAGGTGTAGCGATCAAGTACGTAGCAACCGATTTCCAGGCAGCCGACATCTTCACAAAAGCACTACAACCCTTTAAGTGGGACCACGCTCTCAAGCTTTTGGAGCCTGAGATGACCAAGCAGTGAGAAAAGTGCAGAAATCTTAGGTAAGCCCTCTTATTGGTCTGGTAAAGGACCTTGCATCACATGGGTCGCAGCCCAAGCGCGACTGTAAAGTACAAGTCTCTTAGTGAGCACGGGGAGGGGGGTACCCCAGAAGGGTTTCCACGCATGTGATGTTAGAGGCCCCGTTGACTGCATGTTCCCAGACATGTCGAATGCCAATGTGCATTTGGCTCAAGTATCAATGGCCATCATCAAAGCAGGGTTTGCGCTCGCCTACCGGACTGGGGTTAATAAAGGTCCCGGTTTCTGGTTCGCTGTGTTTCTTTCCCTGTTGAGTACGAAAGGAAGAAAGAAGGACTGATAGTAAGACACGGATAGATAGAGAGAGAGAGAGAGCGAAAAGAAAGAAAGAAAGAAAGAAAGAAAGAAAGAAAGACACGGGCGCAGCATTTTCGCAAAGCCGAGTACAGATTTCGTGCAGGCGCAGCACTTTCGCCAGGTCCGGTGACAGATTGATAGGTAGATAGACAGATAGATAGATAAAAAGGAAAGACAGTACTGAAAGAAACAAAGAAAAAGAACAAAATGTAGAAATAGAGAAATAGAGAAACAAAGAAAAGAAACAAGAAAGAAGGAAGGAAAGAAAAAAGAAAGAAAGAGAGAGAAGTACTGAAAGACAGAAAGAGAGAAAGTGAAAAAAATGCCGAAAGACACAGAAATACCGGAATAAGAAAGGGAGAAAGAAAGACAGATAGGAGAGAAAGAAGGAAAGAAAGAACGAAAGAACAGAAAGACAGAAAGACACGGGCGCAGCATTTCTGCTATGTCAGGCTCAGCACTCTCGCCAGGTCCGGTGATATAGATAGATAGGTAGGTGGGTAGGTAGGTAGGTAGGTAGTTAGTTAAACGGAAAGAAAGAAAGAAAGAAAGAAAGAAAGAAAGAACGACAGAAATAAAGAAGGAAGGAATGAAAGAGTGGAAAAAATACACGCATGCCAAGCTCTTCCTACAGGCGCTCTACTGGTATGTGCTAGACAGACAAACAGGCAGAGATAGATGAATAAACAGACAGATCGCTTCTTGATGGCTTCTTTTCTGCCCTGTTTCTTTGTGAGAGAGTGTCATGACCTCAAATTGATGTTATGGATGTTATTGGCAGGAGCTCTGCATCCAAGGTTCGCGCGGCGATTCCCAAGAGTGCAGCTGCGGGTTGCATATCCAGGAAGCCAGAAGCTCAGCGTGCAGCGTTCCTGTAAGGTTTGTCTCACTAGATGCCCACAATACGACACTCGAAGACATGGTGATCCCTTTGCCCAGGCGATTCCTATTCCACTGCCGACGTGGAGAATGGTCAAAACGCGTTAGAAAATCATGGCAAAGCAGTGGAAGGATCTGTATATTTTGGAATGAAGCTAACTTGCATGTTTAACCTCGTGCTCCCAAACTGTGAAGCTGGCTGTGAATGTGCTAGGTATACACTATGTGCATTGTAAAGGGGGGGGTGTCTATCAAAATGAAAAATAATAAATTCTTAGCTTTAACAATCTTATTTCTAAGAAGATAATAATAGTTCTAAAGAAAGAACATATGAAATATGCTATAACATGAATATATAATAAATCTTAGATTCCTAAACTTATATAATTATATTTTTGAAAATTGGGAGTGAATTATATGTTAATAAAATAACATGAATTTGTATTTTAGAGGGAGAATAATTATATTTTTTGAAAATTGGGAGTGAATTACATGTTAATAAAATAATATGAATTTGTATTTTAGGGGGAGATATTATTTTTAGTATATTTAATGGGTGAGGTTGGGAGTTTTGTTTATTTTTGTGATGAATGGTGATTATATTCTGTATTGTGTTTTGGTTTGTAGAAATTGATATATATATTTATTTTTAAATAACAAAAATATTTGATTTGTATTTGTTTATATTTGTGAAATTAATTTTGAGGATGGATAATTTATAATATAATATATATTTTATCTCACATTTTAAAATCGAGATATTCGAGAATAATAATGATAAAATAGAATTGGGAAACAACATCTTGTTTACTTATAACTTAATGCTACTTTAGGCATGGAAATTGGCTTCGAAAACGAGATTTAAACTAAATACATAAAAAAAAAATAATTTCGATTTAAAGAACATAAATTCTTCGTAACTTAAGGAATGATAACTCTATTAGACACAAACTAAAAGAAATAGTTATAAAGAATATTATTATGCATTAGAAGTGATTGAAACACTTATCGAAAGCAATAAACAAAGCCAAGGAAGCTAATTTATTATCCTTGGAGTATATCTCTAAAATCACCTGTTTGTATGGTTAAACGCCGCCTCCCGATGCTTTTTATATGCCAAATAATGATTTTATTGTAATTTAAATAAAATTCGGATTTTAAATTGGGTCCATATAATCCTAAAATACAGAGCACGT